ATGTCACCGGGGTGGGGAATGGGCAGGTAAATTTCGCCCACACGGGGTGTTCCCGTCAAACCGCGGCACTTCATGAGCATTTCGCTCGGCCCATTTGGCTGGCCTTGGAGGGGGTGGCTAGAGGAGTGTGTCAGTTTATAGGGCAAAATTAAGTGGGAGGGAGATGGGTGGGTTTGGGGGGAGGAGAAGCCGAGCCCGCCGCTGCTCTGGAGAACGTGTGGTCCCTCCCATCCTCTCCCACCCTGCGTCCCCTGGACTTCTTACTACAGCAGCACCGGTCTCTGGGAGGGACTGGAAACAGACGTGCATAGTTTTAATATTATGAAGGGCGTTTTTAGAGTACGGCAATATAGCAGGGTTAGATTTACAAAACCAGTTCCATAATGTATTTTGGTGTAATTTAATTTGTATTGTTAAATCCACCCCATGAATTTGAAATTATACGTTAACATGTTTTTGTTTTGTTTTTTTATAAATCCTTTTGTCTCTTTAGTTCAGGTTCTGAATTTTGTTTTAAACATTGTTTATTACTTTGTAATTTCCCTGGTCTTATTATTCTAATTCTATTTTACTCATCTGTTTTATTGTAAAGCAGCATTCAGGGTTGTGTTCCAATTGTTGTTAGCATCAGTTTATTTATTTGAAATTAGTGGATATTTTGGACAGACATTCTTCCTAGATTTGTACCATTAGCATGTATGTTAGACGGCAAGATGTATTTTCACTATATAGATTCCGTCTGTTATCTTTTTCTTTCATGTTTTCTCTCTCCAGGACTCACAGCAGCCGTCTCCTCTCGCCTTGTTGGCAGCCACTTGCAGTCGAATTGACACCCCAGGAGAGGGTGATTCATCTGCAGACCAACAACAACAAAACCAGCAGCAACAGCTGGACTTAAACCAGGGTGTTTTCACCTCCACAGCCAATGGCTGGCAGGTTATCCCTCTTAGCGTTCAAACAACCTCAGGCACTAACACTGTCACCACCGACTCATCAGGGATCATGACAGTAGGAGACATAGGCAAGTGCAGGCAGGTGTTGTCACAATCAGCAGTTGCTGTTAGCACCCAGCAGCAGCAGCAGCTTCAACAGCCACAGCAATACGTAGTAGCTCAGGCTCCATCAATGCACGGGCAGCAGGTGCTTACCACCATGTCGGGTATGATGCCCAACATCCAGTACCAGATTATTCCCCAGTTTCAGACGATAGATGGCCAGCCTCTGCAGTTGGCACATGCTCAGCAGGATAATACAGTATCTGCTGGAGCAGGGCAGCAGTTTCAGATAGTGTCATCCGCCAATGGCCAGCAGATCCTAGCTACGACCAACAGAGCTGGGGCTGGAGGAAACATCATAACAATGCCCAGTCTCCTCCAGGGAGCCATCCCCATACAAAATATAAGCTTAGGTAATGGCATGTTACAAAACCAACCCCAGTTCCTGGCAAATATGCCTCTGTCATTAAATGGAAACATCACTTTGTTGCCCGTCAGCACCGGAACAAGTGGAGGGGGAGATGCAAGTGGTGGAGGGGATACAGGGGGGAACCAAATTATACAGCAACAGCAACATCCAGTGTGCAGTGCGGCAGCTTACATGACAAGTGCGCCGACTATCACCACGCAGGCCTCTTCTTATGGAATCGCCCAAACGCACAACAGCAATGGAGTGACCTTCCAGCAGAGCGTATCTTCTCTGGGTGTCCCCATACAGCCAGACAACAGAGACGGGCTGCAGCCACAGCAGATCCTGATCCAGCCTCAGCAGATCATCCAAGGTGGAGCCCCCCTCCAGACCATCCAGGCCGGTACTGTCACGACCGCTGGGGGTCAGGTCTTTACGACTCCGACACTCAGCCAGGAAGGGCTTCAAAATCTTCAAATTATGCCAAACACGGGCCCCTTCCTCCTGCGCACTGTAGGCCCCAACGGCCAGGTGAGCTGGCAGACCATTCAGATCCAGAGTCCAACGGGGCCTCAGATAACGCTGGCCCCGATGCAGTCTCTCCCTCAACTCGGCCAGGCTCAGGGGGGAGCTGGCGGAGTATCTGTCAACACCGTGCAGATCCCAGGCCTCCAGACCATAAATCTCAACACGATCGGAGGCACTGGCCTGCAGATGCACCAGCTGCAGACGGTTCCCATCTCCATCGCCAGCTCAGCAGGTCAGTCAGTAGCCTGCTCTCCAAGAATAATTCATGTTCAGTGTAAAACAAGAGTCATTAGCCGCTTTCACACCAAGTACTTTGCCGTACTTAGTTCCCAGTACTTAGTACCCCCATGGAACTAAAGCAGATCGCGTTCACACCGGAATAAGTCCCTGAGGGAAGATTACGCAAATGAAGCCGCTGACGTCACTTCTTCTTCTTCTGCTTTGGGTTTACTAGCAGGCCGCAAACAACTTCATAGCGTATACTGTCGCCAGAAGTCCCTGGCCGGAAGTCCCCGGAATTGGGGACTGGCTTCAGTAGAAGCTGCTGGGACTCCCAGCAGCTTCTACTGAAGCCTTCCGCCAGAACGCCGAAACCTCCTCATCTCCATCGCTCCCAGTCCCATGTTTTCTTTTGTGTTGCCATAAGTTAGTCTCTCTGCGTTGGTGCGCTGGGTTAATGCTAATAATGCTAATGCCAGCAAATACAATGGCGGCTTCACAAAACTTTTCCGAGTTTTATGGGGCGTGGTTTGCATTTCGACCAGCCAATCAGAAATTGGAACTTTTTTCTCCCTAGGAAACCTGCTCTCTAGCAGGGACTGAAAAGGGGGTGAAAAGTTCTCATGAACCAAGTTCTCTTTTTGGTGTGAACGCAAAATCCCAGGAACTATCGGAACTAAAAGGGAAAGTACGGGATAAAGTACTCTGGTGTGAAAGCGCCTAATAGTATACATATTTTGCTGATGCTGCAAATATTTTTAAAATTGACTTAATATTTACTCAATAATGGCATCATCACACAGGACTTTCATAATTTAAAATGTATTAATATATGTTTTTTTAAGTTGTTTTACTTTTATCAGTACTATTCAGACATCTTTACATACATTTGAGCTTTACTCAAAATAATGGAAATGTTGTGTTTATCTCTTCTCGGAAAAACTGATAAACAACAAATATGATAGTACACAGTAATTGTTCAGCGGTACAGTAAATGGCAGTTGGGCTGAGTAAACATGTTAAGTAGTCCAGATTCTCTCTGTATTGACATTTTTCCCTCACACCGAAAAGTGTCAGTATCCTATATCTCTGGATTTGATCCCTTTTGCTCCGTGTGTGTGTGTGTGTGTGTGTGGAGCTTGCTCTGCTGGTTTAACCGGTTCAGCTGGCCCAGGGTTTCCTGAACACTTCACGGCACTGCATGCATTTTTTATCTTGTTGACAACTTTGTATCTTTTGAGTTTACACTGAGATGACATTAAAGAGTTGTGGTTGGCCACTGTATCATAGTACAGGTGTAACTTGAACCTTCCCATTTAATAGCAGCCATTATCACGTCACGTGTTAACCCCTCTTTAGTTTTGCTATTGGCAGCCCCTTACATTATGCAATAATACATTAGCTAGCCTACATTTGTGATGTTCGTGAAGAATCATTGGGTCTGCTTTGGTGCACGTGATTTGCGCGGTTATCCTTATAATGAAATCATGTGCTTCCCATCAGCTACGTATTTAGATGGCTCTGTTTACTGGATGGCATATTTTTCAGTCTCTGTGGTCACATCACAAACGTTTAGGAAGCAGAAATAACTGGTTCTCTGTATACTCAATCCAAGATTAGTAAAGGATGTGTCCGGTTTAAAAAAAAAAAAGGGAATTTTTTTAAACATTTGGAATAATAGTCAAAGCCTGCAAGCCTCAGGTTTCCAGGCACTTAACTGTTTATTCATAAATGAATTACTAAACTAGTTATAATCAACACGTTCATCTCAATGGTACTTTCACTGCTAGGTACACGTCAGATTTTTAAGCCTGTTGAATAAAGCTATTGTAAATGCCCATAAACAATACAATATCCAAAACCAATCGTGGAAATTCATCACCTTACCTATTACAGTAGATTGGATCAGAAATGACATATAAGGAGTGGGATGGATTTTCGTAAAGGAAATAATACAGGAAAAAGTTGATGTATGATGTCATCTTTATGTGAAATGTATAGAAGATGCTCACATTAGTATTTGTATTTCATCACTCCAGTAGACCAGGCGCTGCAGGGGGGTGGAGAAAGTTTGGATGACGGCACAGCTATGGACGATGAGGATTTAAGCCCACAACCTCAAGGGAGACGTAACCGCAGAGAAGCCTGTACCTGCCCCTTCTGCAAGGACGGAGAGGGACGGTATGTCACTGACTTTGTTCGTTGTTTGTTTCATAGGGAATTTTAGAAAGACAAACTTCTATTATAGCTGATTTGATGTACCCTCTATTGTCGGTAAAAATCAGAAAGCCTCTAACTCTTCTGATTGTTTTGTTTTTTAATACATCAAGCAGGGACCCTAATAAAAAGAAGCAGCACATTTGTCACATCTCCGGCTGTGGGAAGATCTACGGCAAGACGTCCCACCTGAGGGCTCACCTGCGCTGGCACACGGGAGAGCGACCCTTCGTCTGCGGCTGGTCCTTCTGCGGCAAAAGATTCACCCGCTCAGACGAGCTTCAGCGCCACAAGAGGACGCACACTGGTGAGCATTCTGTTTAGTGAAGGACATTCAATCTCACACAAAAGTAATAAGTCAATAACTTAATATTAGAAATGAAAGAAGGGCCACATTATTATTTTTTTCTAACATGATCAAATAATTACTCAATTGATGGAATATGAATTGCATATTTTGAAACCAGTTCATTCTTTGGGTTTAAATTGGAATGCTTATCTTTTTTTTTAAATTAAATCTGAATGAAAGTAAATGTCCTCGAGGTTCAGTGTAGGGGTGCACCGAATGGGAAATTCTTGGCCGAAACCGATACCGAAAATAGGAAACAGTTGGCCGAAAACCGAATGCCGAAAGGCCGAAAATGATTACGGTAATAGAAATATATATATATATATATATA